TTTAAGTGTCTTAAATAAGTAAGTAAGTAAGTAAGTAAGTAAGTAAGTAGGTAAGTAAGTAAGTAAATAAATAAATAAATAAATAAATAAATAAATAAATAAGATATCACCGCAGGGAGGGGGGCGATGATAACTTCCTCAATGGCTCAAGGGGGCGTTTCTTTCAAAAAGGTTAAGAACCACTGCATTAAACGATGTTTAATGCGTTCCAATGGAAATCCCTGCCCCGTTCAGCGATGCTTCAGCATAGCGAAGGTTAATCCGGAACGGATTAACCTCGCTATGCGAGGCACCACTGTATATAGTACATGCACTATTCTGGGTGGTTTGTAGCAAGATAAAACACATAGCATCAAGTTACCGTATTTTTCCGTGTATAAAATGACACTTTTTCCTAAAATAATTAGAGGAAAAATTAAGGGTCGTTTTACACATGGAAGGCAACAGCATGAGGCAATCATCTCCTTGCGATCGGGCGGCGGCGGCAGCAGTCAATGGGCAGCAGTGAGAGGCGACCAAGCCCGGCTGCTTCTTTGCCTCCGTCTCCACCACCACCTCCTGCTGCTGCCTCCACCACTGCTTTTCCCTTCCTTTTGCTTTGATCCCTGCTTTTCCCTTCCTTTTACTAAGACCCGGGTTTAGGAAGCGGTGGGGAAAGCAGGGATCAAATTTTCTAATTTGGGGTTAGAAACAGGGTCTCGTCTTATACATCAGGTTGTCTTATAAACGGAAAAATACGGTAAATAAAACGCAATCAGTAACATAAGCGCAAGATGTTGTGAATAGTGCTGATTAGCTCTTGTGCTGTCACAAAGACATTCCTCCTTGAAAGTTAACATTTGAAAACACACCCAATTTTGTATCTCTTTTTCTTGTTAAAGTGTTCCTTTCTGTTAAAAGTCAGAGCATGGCCTGCGTTTCATTGCCTGCCTGCAAATTATCCCTATTGCTTACAGGCTGGCAGTGAAAGGCAGACAACATTCTTGAAAGAGGCAAGATGAATAGCAGAACCACTACTTGATTAGGTGGTGTGATGGTATGTGAATCGTTTAGTTTTACAAACCAGAGAGAAGACAGTTTTTCACTTCATTGGATGTAGTGAATTTGTTTATATTATATGTCTTCAGCCCAAGAACCTGACCCTTTTATTATGCTACTTGTTAACAGTAAAATAGGGGCTTGTGTAGAGGAATCAGTGCTCAGATAGAGGTCTGCCACAATGATATTTATCTAATTGCAGCTACTTATACCTTATCCAATGACAAATAGTCTCATTCACAACTAATGTAGCAAATTGTTTTTTTTAAATAAATATTTTTAGAAAATGACCCGTTCTTATTAATACATTAATTTTCAGCAGTACATGGACACATTAGCATTAATGCCACTGTTTCCAAGCTCTGGTTAAAACCTGTGTTTGAGAACAAGCCAGGATCAAACCATGGTGGATGAACAGCAGAGGGGGAAACGCACACTTCTAAAGCCAAGCAATGCAAGATACTGTGATGCTCCTGTGCTGCGACACATTAATGGGGTTACCATATGGATTTTTTTTTTCCAGGACAAAAAGATATTCGAGAAGCTCCCAATGCAAGCAGTCATTTTAGGTGATCTTTCCCTTTCAGGTACACGCATTATTTATGACCGTAAATTTTTGATGGAATGCCGGAACTCTCCGATTGCCAACACGCCACCTCGTGATCTTCCAGACATTCCAGGAGTTACCAGTCCAAATGTGGATGACCTCGAGCACGAGACCAGCCTCACTCATCCTGATGATGAGAAGCCAGGCTTAGGTGAGTGGCCGTCTCTTTTGCAGGGCTGTGAAAATACCTTCTAGAGATGGGCACGAACCACCAGTTTAGCCCAGTTTGTTTATTGCCCCAGCAGGGGCTCATTTCCCCAACACCCGCAGTGCGTGCCCATTCAGAGGCAATTAACAGAGGAGGCTGGGAAGGGAAGCTGGGACACTGTCTCTGAGCAGGCGTCTGCCAGAGGAGGCAGGGCACGTACCACCAGACACCCGTTGGGATGGTAAATGAACCAGGACAAACCACCGAACCAGCAGGACATGCCCATTTCTACTGTGCAATACAGACGTACAACTTTTATTCAGTAGCTGTATGTCTCTGTATTGACCTCGACCAACTTCATTTTTGTACTATCTGCTTAGGAGAGCAAATGTGGGTGGGTGAGAATCATCCCACACCATGTGGGATTGAGGTCTAGCACATGCCTTGGAATTGAGGTCTAACACATGCCTTGGCCACTCAGGGGCAACTACCTGTGCCCCTGCACTGCCCTCCCATAAGGGAGCTGGATTTTCCTAGGGCCATTTTAATTTCTTACAGGGCTCTGTAGTGGCATTGTGTCTCCCTCCCCCCCCCAAGATGTGGGAAATTAAAGTGGTAGTCCTAGAATGTTGCTGCCTCCATCCCAGTTGGATAAATCTGATGGGGAACCCCACAAGAACGACTTTGGTTTGGGGAGATGGGGCTGGCAGCCTCAAAGACGAAGCCTCACACAATATATGGCCGATGGATTATGTTGCAGCCTCTGTGTCTGAAACTGCGCAGCCTGGCGCAGAGTGCTGCAATAATTGGAATGACTTCTGTTATGCCTTGTGCTTTTGCTTTTCAGAGTACTTATCCACACATAGCACAATGGCAGGTTGTTTTGTTTGCTTGCTTTCTATCCCACTTTTATGTCCACAAAACAGGTCACAAGGTAGTTCCTAAAATTAACAGACATGTACAATGAAACCACAGCGTTATCTTAACCACAGCACAGGTACAGTATATAGAGAAGACACAGTGTAATTAAAAACACTTTTTAAGTTGCTTTAAAATTACATGAGTAAGGAAGTAACACCTCCACCCCGACTCACAACCCCTTCTTCAATCAGTTACCCACGTTCCAGTGAAAATGGGGTTCAGTATTGCTCCAGTGGGCAGGAGATGACCTGAACCTGTTCATTGGAGTAATTAATTTGATGGTTTATTTTAATAACAACAGATAATCATGGGTAAGATTCATGAAGTAAAAGCGCAATGCATAATAAATCAAAGGAAAAGCAGTGGGGTTTTTTGCGCAAAATACAATTCAGTGGCTGAAATCCTGTTGTGCAGTCATACAAATACTGTAGCATTACTGTTGGAAATGGATTATCGTAAATTAAGAAATCTCTGTAGGCATTATCTGTTGCATGCCAAGTAGAGATGGGCACAGACCAGAAAAACAGTGGCTAACCATGAGCTACCACAAACCCCCAGAAGAACAAACCGGTTCACAGTTCATTTTTCCATGCCAGGGGGGCAAAGCCTGCTGCTGGTTCATTTTTCCAGTTCATGCCAGGGGGGCAAAGCCTGCTGCTATTGCCTCCACCACAGGTACCTACTTAGAGGCAGCCCCTGGAAGGAAAGCCAGGTTTGCTGCCTCTGGGGATGGCACCTGTGCTGGTAGTGGCACAAGACTGGTAGGCAGAGGTGACGAGGCAGTGGGAAGGGGCCAGACGGGCATTTTGTTTTGCTTCAGCAAAATGGGATCTCTGAACTGGAGACGAACCAGAAACCAGTGCAGTTCATGGGGTGTTTTTTTGTTCTTGTTCATGTTTCATTTCATGCCCATCTCTTAACACTGTGTCATGCGATGTCATGCAACAACTATTGTTCATGTTTCATTTCATGCCCATCTCTGTGTCATGCAATGTCTCATGCAACAACTAATGTACAGTTGTGCCCCGCTTGACTATTACCCCGCTCCATGATGAATCCGCTTTACGATGAGGTTTTTGCGATCGCAAAATTGCAATGATGTTTAAATAGGGGAAATTTGGGAACCGGTTTACGATGAGGTTTTTGCGATCGCAAAATCGCAACAATGTTTAAATAGGGAAAATTCACTTTACGGCGATCGGTTCCCTGCTTCGAGAACCAGTTTTCGCTAAATGACTATTTTAAAACAGCTGATGGCGTCTTTCAAAATGGCTCCCTGCTGTGCAAAATGGCTCCCCACTGTGTTTAGGACGGATTCCTCGCTTAACAGGCACCGGAAAATGGCCGCCTTATGGAGGATCTTCGCTGCACAATGAGGTATTTCGCCCATTGGAACACATTGAACCGGTTTTCAATGCATTTCAATGGGTTTTTTTACTTTCACTTGACAACGATTTTGTTCTACAGCGATTTTGCTGGAACGGACTATCGTCATCAAGCAAGGCACCATTGTATATGGAGATTTCTTAACTTACAGCAATTCACTTCCAAATATTATACCACCTGCATGACTGCACAACAGGATTTCAGCCAGTGATTAAATAAGAAGTGTAATGCAGCAAAATCTGTGTTGAAGTACCAAATTATTATAGTGTGCAAAATTATCCCTGGTTAACTAGTGGTGCTGGACACGTGACTACGGAAACTGTCTTCGGACAAACGCTGGCTCTATGGCTTGGAAACGGGGATGAGCACCGCCCCCTAGAGTTGGACACGACTGGACAAAAATTGTCAAGGGGAACCTTTACCTTTACTAACTCTTTATAATAACACTACATTTGCCTAGCAGCCCTCTAGTTAAAGCTAGATATTCCCAGCTGTTGAACAGTTTTTGGCCTAAAGATTGAGAAGGGAAAGATTTGCATCTGCCTATTCCAGAAGCAGGTTCCTGAAAACCCAAGGGATTATGGAGGAAAACTGATCCGGGAAAGTTCCACTAGAAATTAGAAGAAAAATAAAAATAGCAAAAACCGAGCCTCACTATTGTGGTATTCATTAGGGGCAGAGAGGGGAGGATAAAAATAAAATAAGAGACTGCAGTATAAGGGAATTTTGAGAAGTCAAAGTTTAGTCAGAGGAGTTGACAGACCAAAGACCTTGTTTAGGGAAAACGTTGGTCTATATAAAATCCCAAGAGAAAATTCTGATAAGGGATTTGTAGAATCTAAAGAAGTAACTTAATTTATAACTCCAGGCATTTTCTGAGTTGAGGCAAAACAGATAATTGACGGCCCAAACAGAACAGACAGATTCTGCAAACGGTGCCTCAGAACAGACAGATTCTGCCTCAGAACAGATTCTGCAAACGGTGAAAATTATATGAGACTCAGTGATCTGAAAAAGTATGTTTCACTCTGCTGAAATGCAGTTGCTTTTTTGTTTCACTGAAACCCCTAATTTTCCTACATTCTGATCATCTTCTACTCTCTCATCACTAAAATTCGGCTCTGTACCTGGTATGTGGCAAGTCAGGAGGAAATGGCCAGAGCACAACTTCTTGTTGCCCAGAAATCCTATTCCTTTATCTTGGGCAAATAACTTGATTGTAGCATCTTGTCAGGGTACACCCTGAGCAGAGAGCAATTGTAAGTCTCCATCTCTCATTTGTACATACAGTTCTGTCGTCTTGTAGCTTGGTAAGCGCAGCAACCGTATATCTGCTTTTCTCTTCATTCTGTAATCTAAAAATCCAGGCTGAGAGAAATCCCGCACCTCTTTTTTCTCAACAAGAAGCAGTCAACCAGGTGATTTAGGAAACAAACCACAAAGTTTTCCATTTTGTGTATCTTTGGACCTTAAAAATTGATACAGTTGAATAGCCAACAACAGGAGTGATCTCCCTCAGAGATTCTTGTGTCTGCCAGGGAATTGTTCCAAACTGGCCCCCACAAAGTAGAAGATCTACAGTTGAAACAAAAAAAAAGGCGCATCTTCAACATGGATTGGGATTGAGCTGGAGCACATTTCCCTGTGAATAATGTGATTGCTGAGAAACAGATCACACCACACTGCTCTATGAGTAGTCCACACCCTAATCTTCTTGCTCTTTTGGGGGGGGGGGGAATTCCCCTTTCGAGTCCCCTGTTCCTGATACCCAGGTACCTTCTAGATAGGATTTGAATACCGTAACAAATGAACTTTTATCATTTGAGGCAACATCTCTTCCAGAAATATGTGGTGTGTTTCTAATTAGGCCCTGTCTGTAACTCACATGTCAAGAGAAATAAATTTGTGGCCTGAGAACCTTAAGAGCAGGCAAATTAAGCTGCTCTAATTGCAATTCTGTTTGCTTTCTTCCAACCTGGTCAGGTTCTCCTTCAGAATCACTAAGTGTGGGTGATTCTTACTCAAGAAAAAGAAAAGAAAAATAAGCTACTTTAGGCAGTAGTGTGCTTCTAGTTTTAGTTCAGGGAGCAGGCGTTTGAAACATCACTTCTAACAGATGTGAGCATCGTTAATGGATGTACGGAGTTTGCTGTTCTACCCTGTGGATGATTAGTAGATTTCGTCCCTCGTGGATAGGCAGGTCTCCATTGACAGGCTTTCAGTTAGTGTTAAAAAAAAGGGTGTATGTAGGCATGGACAGGATGTAAGTCTAGCAAGCATCCTGTTTGGGCGGGGGAGGCTGTGGTTCTAAATGAATAAAGCAATATGAAATGGATGAAAGTGCCTAGGCTTGCTCCCTCTTTGGTCCACTTCACCACAACAAATCATTTCTGGAACCAGTAGCCAGATCATATGAGAGAACATTTTGTTCTCAGTTGGCAGGCTTGAAGATTACAAACTTCCTTTACCACTTAATCAGCCCTATCAAAATCTGTCATGCCTCTTGTTTGTTCATAGCCAGGCTAAGACCTTGAAAGAAGAGTATATTGGCTGCCAACCCTTTTAACGTGTGCATTTCCCTTCAAAGCAGTCTGGAGACTACATTTAAAGTGACTTAAGAAACAGTGCTTTTTTTCTTGCAAGTTTGTGGCCGGTGAGCCACTTCAACTTGGTTCTCACAGATACTTTTCTGTTTTGCAGGCGAGGAAGCGCAGTTTGACATGGATATCTGAGATCGGTCGAAGGAGAATCCTTGTGGCTTCTTTTCAGCAAAGACAAGATCCCTGCAGTGCTTTCAGAACAAGTGTGGCTTGTAGAATAGCCCACGCTTCACAAAAGTTTCTGGGATGAAAGAGCCCATTACCGTTTTTTAAAAGAAACTGGGAGGAGACTTCCAGTTTTCTAAGGACTGTCAACACAGGTGGATTTTCCTCTGTGCGGTAGGAAGTCTGTCCTTGATGAGCCTTGGTGTAAGAAAGGTGGATGCCGTGCTCAGTCCCTGCTTTGAGTTTTTTCCCTTATGCACAAAATCAGTGCTCTCAAGCAGGAGACTGGATGGAAGGAGCGGAATAAAATAGTGCTGGATTGAGGGGATCACCATGTTACTGCGTCTCTTTTTCTGTTCATGTCACTTTCTTGGGGGCAAATATACTCTGCAGTCTTAATCTCTTAAATGCACAAGCAGTCATTTCGGTACAGATGTAATGGAAGGGGATGAGAGCTTGGTCGTAAGAAGATAGTACTTGTTTGCTCATATATATTTTTTCTGATTTCTACCTGTCTCAACTTTCTCTAGAGCAGTTGTTACCAACCTTGGGTCCCCAGATGTTCTTGGACCACAAGTCCCAGAAACCTTCACCACTGTCTCTGCTGGAAAAGGCTTCTGGGAGTTGCAGTCCAGGAACATCTGGGGAATCAAGGTGGGGAACCTTTTCTAGAGCTGTACAAATTAAGGGCCTAGTGAAACTGACTAACATATGTCAGGAGACAACCCGAAAGGAGACTTGCTTTTTCTGTTGACAGATTTCTGAATGTGCTGAAGCAGACAGGGGCACACAGTCCAAATCAAAATGGTTTTTCAGAAACATGTTCTTGAAACAGAAAAAAAAATATTGCTGTGAGAAGTTTGTAGCATGGCACTGTTCTTTCTCTGTCTCTACACAAATACCCATGTAGATCTGTGCACCTTCTTCACTTTAAAAATCAAATCTTAAAAAGAAAATATTACGCCTTCTGTGAGCTTTGGATGAAACCGTTTCTCACTGTTGGTGATGTTACACAAACTGTCTGATAGCCTCCTGTGTTGGTCATGCACTTGCATTAATAACATTTAAAGCAGAGGTTCAGAGGTTTCCGACTGCAGCTCACATAGTCCTTGGCCTTTGGCTGGGGGGGCAGGGCGGGGAGAACTAGGCTTTGCAGAAGTTTTTGACCAAAACATCTGGAGGGCCAACGTTTCACCACTGGGATCTCAGCCAGAAGGGCAGTGGTCCTCAACCTTGGGCCTCCAGATGTTCTTGGACTTCAACTCCCAGAAATCCTGGCCAGCAGAGGTGGTGGTGAAGGATTCTGGGAGTTGTAGTCCAAGAACATCTGGAGGCCCAACGTTGGGGACCACTGCTTTAGGGAATGGGCATCAGCAGTGACTGTAGCAGCTGCGCTGGTGGGAGAAGCCAGCAGCTACAAATTATTTGGTGGCCGAAGAGGAGGTGCTGTGAGCTCTGCTTTGAAGACAGCCGGAGCACGGTGTCTCTTTTATCCAGGAGCATCACCACTCTCTTCAGTGAATTACAGATGCAGTAATGGAGTGACTCTCTGGTGCACTGTAGAATTGCTTTCCTGAAGCTAGGAATTCTTGGGGTTACCAGGCATAGAGACATGACCTTTTTAATCTCTGATGCTCAGATTTGTGGTTCAGAAGTCTCCTGCATCTCTTGGTGTATTTTCGGTACCAGGTTCTGGTTTGTACATCAGATCAAAGAAACAAAGCAAAATAGGTCCTGCACCCTGAAGCCTGCCATCTCTGATAATGTGTGTAGGACCACAGGGGCTTTAAATGCCATCTCTATCATATGCATTCCCTCTTTTTTGCCTTATCCTGCTGCCTACCGTTCCCCCTCTTTGTGTCTCTTAGAGGCCAGATGGGATGTAGATGTGAGAGATATGCATGCTGATATACAAACATAAGTAGGGAAACTTGCAAGTTTTGATGTAAACATGCCCTAGGTTTAACACTGAAAAACATATTAGATGTGCTGATAATTTTGATCACGGAACCTTTTTTTGCATCTCAGCGTATAAGAGTGTCATCATTCTCTTCAAATGAAAGGCCAAAACCCTGTTGCACAACTTTGTGATTGTGCCCCTGGTACCTGTGAAAGAGCTGGTGCAGAAGGGCTATCCCTGAAGCACTTCTGCTGGCACGTGGTGCAACTGATTGCGCCTGAGATGCTTGGCCAACTGCGCAATTGAATGGCACAGGTCCTTGTTGCCAGGCGTTATACCTGGCACATTGACACTGTCGTAACTTGTTGTAAAGCTGCCATAAACAGGATCTTGTCTTATATTAATTATAAGCCACCAGTGATAACTAGCATGCGTGATTGGCATATCTTTCTGAGGATTTGAGAGTGATGGGGTGGTTTTGTGTATTAACTACCACCCAAATATTAAGTTTCAGTACACACGTAGAACTCATGGTAGATTGGACAGTATTTCGTATGTTGATGTTAACTAGAAACACATATTAGGTTTCTCTCTAAAGGCTGTGTGGCAGAACAGAATCTGGGCCTTGCAAAATGTTGACTAGAATGCTTGACAGGTATTGGAGGGGATATGAAATTGTGTTTTCATAGTTAACGAAGCTCTCCTTGTGTCTTTTCTTGTTATAATTGAGTGGACTTGACTTTCAGTTGCCTGAGGAAGTCAAATGGAAGATTTTCAGCTTCTCAACGCTTGAGTATCTGTCAGACCAGAGGAGAAGGTGGACTGTTTACAAAGCCAATTCCAAGTCAAAATGCTCCCATACAAATTTTTGTAACAGCAGAATGCTAAAATATGAATCCATCACCAATGTTAGCACATTCGTACTAATGGTATATAGAAGGGCACTGCATCCACTATCCAGATGGAAGCAGTTCACGGGCTTTCTCTGGGTTTTTATTTATTTATTTAGGTAATGTATGTAACTTACTTTAGGAAGAGCTTTTAGGGCAATGTGCAAATCATGGATTTGGCCGCATAGGCAGCAGGATGAAATGACAGAATAAGTAGCAATGCTTGCTTCTGTGAGGTCTGTAGGTCAGTGAAGTTTTTTCAGGTCCTTTTGTTTGCAGCCTCTCTGAAAACAGGGAACGGTGCCATTTGTGACATTTACATCCTGTCTTTCCTCCTGTGATCTCAAGGTTGCCTACACAGCTCCCTTGTCCACTTTATCCTTATAACAGTACTGTTGGATAGGCCAGCCTAAGAGGAACTACCGTAGTCCAAGGTCAAGAACAACTATGTCTAGATGGGCGGCATATAAATGCAATAAATAAATAAAATAAATAAATTACATTTTTAAAAATTATACTTCTTCTAAAAGCACTAAGTGCGTGCTTGCATGCATAAACAAACAAACAAACAAAGTTATTTGACAGGAAACTTGAGGGGAAGGTGATAATCAGACATACAGAGCAAATGGAACCTGTAACAATGTACAGTGCTCTTGTTTGGGGCTTTTGAAAATACTTTTCCCATCTCCCGTTTACCTCTTTTTGATACCTCAGGAATCCATAGCTGTTGAGCCTTGTAAGTCCTCATGGAGGGTTGGGGGAGGGGTTCCTCCCTTCAGCCTTTTCCCCTCTCATGTTGGTTTTATTACTGTACTTATGCACACGGAGAACCTTTGTGGTGAATAGTTGTATTATTAACACAATTAAAAATAGCACCTTTCTTCATCGTGGTCTTCTGTGAATGCACACAAAGGGTTAATACCAGCGCCAGCGTTGGGCCTCTCGGAACATTCTCTAGCTGCAAGAGAAAAGTAACAATGTTTAGGACTACCCGTACTGCGCACGCCCAGCCTAACCGTCCCTCAGTTCCATTTTTCCGCCTAGTGGTTTGGAGCCTCTCGTCGTAGCTGCGTCTATTGCGATCTATTTGATTCCTTGGTTTTGACCTAAGCTTCGCTCACGGACTACCCTAGCGCTTTTCCCCTCAACTTGGCGACTCGGTTCATCCTCTTCACGGTTTTACTCGGACTGATTTCGGACTGCTCTGCCTTCTCCCTTAAACTAGTCGTTTCGGTTTGCTTACTGCCCTATGTCCCCGTCCGGGCCTTTCAGCAGGTGTGTGGTGTGCGACCGTAAAATTCCCCATCAGGACGGCCACGATACTTGTCTGTATTGCCTGGGGGAATCGCATAACTCCAAAACTTTGTGTGAATTCACAGAATGACCACTTGAAGAACCATCGTTACAGGTAAGTAACCTTTCTTTTTTTGTACTCCAAGGCGCTCTTGATTCCACCCTCCACATCACGTCACTATGAATATATTTACCAATGACCCAAATATTATTGTATGCTATTCTTCTAAAGATGTGGTTTTCAAAAATTTCAAAAGCCACAATATTCTGAAGAACTGGAGGAACAGTCATGTTAAAATAAATCCGTTAGCCTTCAAGGTGCCAGAAAGCCTTCACTTTTTAGTTCTTGTTTGCATTTGGGGGTGGATTTAGCAGGCACGTTACTGGGATGAAGTAGTCTTGCCATCAAATCCAAACAATGTCATAGTTTTCAAGCAAGGTGCGTCTGCACAATTAAGATGGCCAAAGGGAGCAGAGCGTGGAACTAGGACTCAAATACCCTCCTGACATGGTCGAAGAAAATGGTGTTTTCTGAACTTTGAAGGGGAAATGTATTCTAAGGACTCCAGTTAGCCTTCTTAATGGTTTAGATTGATGAGCAGTCTCTAGATTATACTCTGTAGCACACATCCCATCAGTTATCTCCCTTCTCTTTTGACTATTTCCTCGATTTCCAAACTAATTAAGGTTTTTTTTTAAAAAAAAAATACTGTTATTGTTTAGTTGTTAAGTCGAGTCCGACTCTTCGTGACCCCATGGACTAAAGCACGCCAGGCCCTCCTGGCTTCCACGGTTTTCTGGAGTTTGGTCTAATTTATGTTGGTCGCTTCGATGACACTGTCCAACTATCTTGTCCTCTATCATCCCCTTCTCTTGCCTTCACTCTTTCCAAACAACAGGGTTTTCCCAGGGAGTCTCCTCTTTTCATGAGATGGCCAAAGTATTGGAGCCTGAGCTTCAGGATTTGTCCTTCCAGTGAGCACTCAGGGTTGATTTCCTTCAGAACGGATAGGTTTGTTCTCCTTGCAGTCCAGGGGACTCTCAAGAGTCTCCTCCAGCACCACAATTCAAAAGCATCAATTCTTCAGCAGTCAGCCTTCTTTATGATTCAGCTCTCACTTCCATACATCACGACAGGAAAAACCATAGCTTTGACTATGCAGACCTTTGTCGGCAAGATGATGACTCTGCTTTTTAAGATGCTATCGAGGTTTGTCATCGCTTTCCTCCCAAGAAGCAGACGTCTTT